GATGCTAATGCTAGTAGCAGAGCAGTCTTAGGCGTCAAAGGACGAAGGTCAACGGACTGTAGCAGCTCGAAAGGAGGGATCTTAAGAGCCCTCAACACTGTGGGCAGGTCCCATGAAGGGACGGTGACAGGGCGAGGCAGGGTGAGCCTCCTAGACCCTTTCAAAAAGCGAACAACTAGGTTGTTCCTGCCCACTGACTGGCCAGCTATAGGAGCATGTGAGGCAGCTATGGCTGCTACATAGACCTTGAGTGTGGAAGGGGAACGACCCTTATCCAATAGCTCCTGCAGGAAGGACAATATCAGAGATATGTCGCAGGAAATTGGGTCTGCGCCGCGGCCCATACACCAGACGGAGAAGACAGACCATTTAAGAGCATAGAGCCGCCTTGAAGAGGGTGCTCTAGCCTGAGATATTGTGTTTAGCACGCTCTCGGGTAGGTCCGTAGGCTCCCATCGAGATGCCAGAGGTGCAGGGTCCACAGTTCGAGTTGGGGGTGCCATATCATTCTGTTCGCCTGAGAGAGGAGGTCTCGTCTCAGGGGAATGGGCCACGGGGCTGCTATAAGCAGCTGAGACAGCTCTGCGAACCAGTGTTTGGTCCTCCAGAGTGGGGCCACCAGCAGAACATTGTGTTTCCGCTCCTTGATTCGCCTGATTTCCTGTGGGATCAGGGCGATCGGGGGAAAAGCGTAAAGGAGGAGGTTGGGCCAGTCGTGGGCCAACGCATCCTTGTCATTCGAAAAGTAAATTGGGCAGTGAGAGTTGTCCTCTGAGGCAAAGAGGTCAACTTTTGCCTTGCCGAAGATCTCCCAGATTCTCTGAACCGTATGTGGGTGGAGCATCCACTCTTCTGAGGGGACATTGCTCTGGGATAGCATGTCTGCTCCCTGGTTCAACCTGCCCGGCACATGTGCTGCTCTTAGCGAACGCAAGTTTAGCTGAGCCAATTCCAGGAGGCACTCTACCAGAATGAAGAGGCGCTTCGAGGTGAGACCGCCCTGGCAATTTATATATGACACCACTGTCATGTTGTCTGAGCGGACTAGCACGTGGTGTCCCTTTAGGTCTGGCAGGAAGGTG